GGGGGGGGGGCGCAATGAGGAACCTGGACTTGTGGCAGCAGAGAGAGTAAATCCAGCCCTGGGTGAGACTATTAATCCCATCATGCCTATGCTTCTGGGAGTCCTGCCTGTGGCTGTCAGGGCCTTGCAGTTCCTCATGGGACTTGTAGTTCCACAACAACTGGAGTGCCGAGGTTCCCTACCCCTGTTTTGAACCTTTCCCTAATCTAAAGCTGGCCATACTTTCCCTCTGGGCTCCGGCAGTCTGAGCTCTGATGATGTCATCATGTCTAATGCAGCTCCATTCACTTGCATTAGACCTGAGGACAATGGGACATACCACACAGTCTGAGCGTAGGGGGAGAAAGAGGTGAGTGCTGACCCCTACAGGACGGAGGTTCATATAAGCATATCTTCTGTATTCCGGCCCCTAGACCAAAGCGAGCAGTTAACTCTTCCAGTGTGACAGGCAATGGCACATCCCCTGTGCACACCTATCATTATAACTCCTGTCAGATTTCATTCACCATCTGTGTCCCATTGGGGAGATTTCCCTTCTCTTCCTGTCCAATAGCCACAACAGGAAGTGAGAGGATATTCCTACAAAGAGAGAGAAATCCCGGGGAATTTCCCCATTGGAAGATTTTCCATCTATTCCTGTTCTGGTGACAACCCAAAATTTGGGATTTTCTTTCACTTTCAGTGACAATGGTCACCAGGACACAGAGAGAGTGTGAATCTCCCTAACGGGGACACAGACAGCGATAAAAACCTGACAGGGGTTCTAATCCTCCTCCACTCCACACCAAAACTAAAATAAGTTTTGGCTTCAGCTGCACTTTAAATCTACTAACATTGACATTGTACATCACTTGTTTTTGTTTTGGCAGCTCGTGTGGGTTCTGCTTGGTGCTACTTTCCTCGGACTGCTGTGCCAGAGGCTGGCGGTGCGGCTAGGTGTGGTGACCGGCAGAGATCTGGGAGAAATCTGCCGGGCTTATTACCCAAAGGTAAGATCATGGCAGATAGATGAAGCGGAATATGACAAATGTGAGAGACAAAACTCAAAGATGTCCCCGATACCAGAACTTCCGGTCAGAGGGAGTTTTCCTCTGACCAATGGTGCCGCGAGGGAACATGGAGCCGGCTTCCTGGCCAAACAGGAAGCCGGGCAGCGAGTCATTACCCGCTGCCCGACTTCCTGTTTGGCCGGCTCTATGCTGATTGACCGGAAAGCTGGCTTCCCGGCCAATCAGCATCGAGTCAGCCAAACAGCCGTCTCGATGCTGATTGGCTGGGAAGCTGGCCAAACAGCATGGAGCCCGCTTCCCGTGCAATCAAGAAGCCGGGCACGCCACCCAGCTTCCTGATTGGCCGGGAAGCCGTCTCCTTGCTAGCGGAAGTACCAGTATCGGTACTCGGTACGGCGAGTACCGAAATATAAATATGGGTACTCATACTCGATATCGGAAACCCGGTTTCGGTGCATCCCTAGCAACACTCCGTCCCCGTCTCCAAATAGTGATCTTGCATTGTCACATGCGCCCCTAGTGGACATTACACACATTGCACAGGCATTGGTCCACTGTCGTCACTATCATGATGCTGCTCCAGAGCAATGATGAGCAGCCGACGCAGGAGTGAGCGCATGCAGACTGGAAGTGACTGGCTGGCTGAATCTGAAGGAGATCAGCAGCACTGAAATGAGAACACAAAAGGTAAAAATGGTATTATATAAAACAAAAACACAACTTAGGAAAACTACATGTTGTTCAGTTAGGTCAGGGGTGGGCAACTCCAGCCTTCCAGCTGTGCTTCAACTACAAATTCCCTCTGCCTCTGGGAATCATGCCTGTGGTTGTCAGAATCTTGCTATGCCTCTTGGGACTTGTAGTTCCTCAAACAGCTGAGGGGTCGGAGTTGCCCACTCACGAGTTCGGCTTTAGACACACTTTACATCCTCCCAGCTTAGCGGCGGATACATATGTCCTGTTTTGAAGGCCATTGGAAGTGCAAGAGGATGCAGCCACCCTCATAGGTCATGGAGGTCATTATACACCAGAAGCACAGGTCATCACTGCAAAACCCTTACTGGGCAGATGGACACAACACTGCAAATGGTGACATCTAAAGTGCATTCCAAGGGTGACTTGTTTTTTTATTGTCACATAGAACTTACTAGACACGTGCGATTAGTTTCGTTCAGAATGAAAGGAGAACTATGAGGTGAGTGCTTCTCACTCACCTCATAGTTCTAGCCGACCTGTGACAATGAGACTGTCACAGGTCGGCTCAGTAGATCGGGAGGTGAGCGAACACATGCCGTTGCTCGCTCACTTCTCGATCCTGTCACGGCTCTCTGCCGTGACAGGGGAGGGGCTGGATTCCCCCCTCCCCGCTCCGATCCTCCAGCGCTGACTGGCGGAACGGACTGGGGAGGGGGCGGGTACAGCTGGCTCTGCCTCTAGATAGGCAGAGCCAGCTGTCACTCACGCAGCTGGGCGGATCTCGACATCGATGTCGGGATCCGCTCCAGCTGCGGCGTCTCAGTATATAGGGAGCTGTAGCTCGCGGTATACTGAGCTTAGGGTGATGGAAGGACGCTAGTTTGTGTCCTCCCGTTACCCTAAGGAGAACTATGGGGAAAAACACTGACCCCATAGTTCTCCTTTAAAATTCGGATGAATTTTCCAAAATTCGGACATTCAGAGGCATCCAAATTTCCAAATCCCAATGCATCCGTCCGAATTTCCATTTCTGGATTTCCTATCACGTCCAAATTTCATTCAAAAATGAAACTGAATCGGACATGTGACTTTTCCTGCCAATCAGATGTGTTTTTCGGTTTAATGCCTCCGGATGGGTCTGAACACGAATTTTCTTTACGACAACATGGGAGCCATATACAGTCTATACATATAATACTAAAGCTGAGGCTCCCAGACCCGAATCGCATTCGGGATCTGAATTTCCGAATTGCATTTGGGAGCCGAATGCCCTTCGGGTCTGGGAGCTTCAGCTTTGGTATTATATATATATGGCTCCCAGACCCGAATGGCATTCGGGAGCTCCAGAATGAAATTTGGAAATTCGGATCCCAAATGCCCATTCGGGTCTAGGAGATTGAGCTTTAGTATTAGTATCTGTAGATGGTTTTCTGTGGTATTCGCAAAGAATATTTGTAAACTCATCCGAAAATGCCGAAAATTCGGATCCGAACCGAATTGAATTTCGGATCCGAATTCCAAAATAAAAAAAAATCCAAACCAAATTTTTCTGCAGCTGGCATGTCTAGAATTTATATACTAAAGATGTTTTCTGTATACTGCACACCACCTATCTGGTCATATCTAACACCCTTCTCTCCATTATTTGTAATGCAAGTTAAATGGCTGAGGTAAGGGTTAGACCTTCTGTCATTTTTTTTAAATATTTTATATATTTATTTTTGCTGTCTCTGTCCCTGGAGACAGAAAGTAAGGAAAAATCCAAACTTTTAGGGCACTTTTTATAAACAATTGCCAGAGCCATTCACCCTGTGAATCTCATCGAACATTCATTCTGTGCAAATAGAGGCAAAAACGAATGTCCACAATATTTTTTTCTTTTCAGGTGGAATGTAACATTCAGAAAACATCACTTTATGGCCACTAGATGGAGCTGAGGAGCACAGGAAGTAAACACTTATTTCTTGTGCTCCTCAGCTCCATCTTTTTTCTGAATGTTACATTCTAAGAACATTTGTTTTTGCCTCTATTTGCACAGATTGAACGTTTGCAGATTTGCAGGGTGAATGGTTCTGTGAATTGTTTATAAACAGACACCTTAGAGTTGCCATCAAAAAGAAAAGTTAAGAGGAAATCTTCTAATGGCGACAAATGTTCCAGTGACACCTAAGACAGGAGATTTGCTCTCATTTCCTGTAGTGTCTCCAGGAGAGAAAGCAAGGGTGAATCTTCCCAGGGATACACAATAAACTAGTAACTGTTAGCCCTCGTTCACACCTGAACGTTTTGTAGCGCGTTGTACGCTCGACGAACGCTCTACAAAACGCTCAAAAATATAAATCCCATTGTGTTCAATGGTCTCGTTCCCACCTTGGCGTATTTCCGCCCGTCCCTAACGCGCTACAAAACGGTCCACGCCTGAAAAGGTACAGGTACTACTTTGGGCCGTTTTGTTGCGTGTTTCCATTGGGATACAGCCAAGCAGCCTTCGGAAACTCGCGTTTGTCGCGTGACTTTTTTACCGCGAATCGCGGTAAAAAAACGCGCGACAGACGCGCATATGCAATACGCCTAGGTGTGAACGAGACCTTAGGGGTTTTAACTGGGGATGCACCGACACCGATACTAGTATTGGTATCGATGCCGAGTATTTGGGCGAGTACTCATACTCGCCCAAATGCTCCCGATGCCAAGCCCGATACTTCCGATATTAGCAAGCCGGGCAGAGCGTCATTACACGCTGCCTGGTTTCCTGATTGGCTGGGAAGCTGGCTCCATGCTCCCTCATCACTTGTAACGAGAGCATGGAGCCGGCTTCCCGGCCAATCAGGAAGCTGGGCAGAGCGTCATTACACACTGGTCAGGAAACTGGCCAATCAGGAAGCAGGGCGTCGTGCAATGGCGCGGCACCCAGCATTCTAATTGGACGGCAAGCCGGCTTCATGCGCCCCCGTTACCTCATGACGAGGGAGCATGGAGCCGGCTTCCTGGCCAATCAGGAAGCTGGCTCCGTGCTTTCTGGTCACCTAGTGACGAGAAGCATGGGGCAGCTACCCTGCTAATCAGGAAGCCAGGTGGCAAGTCATTACACGTCGCCCGGCTTCCTTAATGAGACATCCAGTACTCGGTATTCGGTAGACATGTGCGATTCGTTTAGCTCCGAATCGAAATTCGGACGAAATTTCAGAAATTCGTAGATTCGGAGCATCCGAATTTCCCAAATATAACATATCCAACATATCTAATACACACTCACACACCTGCTCAAACATAAATGCACACACACAATAGGTTGGATTTGATGGACTTATGTCTTTATTCAACCTCAAATACTATGTAACTATATATCCGAAATTATCCGAAAGCATCCGAATCCGAAATTTTGGATTTGGAACGAATTTCGTCCAAATCCTGTGCGTGCGCTGTTAACATTTAAACAGATAAAAACAAATTAAGAAAAGGATTTTAATGTCCCTTTAATAGTAAAGACGAGAGCACAGCAACCAGAAATGACAAATGTGCCAATTCTGCTACCCCACCATGAGCGTTTTACCGCGCGTTCCTACGCTCAGTAAAACGCGCAACAGGTGAAAACCCATGTTTGCCTATGGGCATGGTTCTCACCTGCGCCCTTTACCGCCCGCTCGATCGCGTGGTAAAACGCCATACGCCCAAAGAAGTACATGAGGTTCTTTGGGGCATATTAACGCCCGTATCCCGCTGTTATTAGCCGGATACCCCCTTGGAAACTCGCGTTTGACGCGTGTTTTTTTACCGCAAATCGCTGTAAAACCTCGCGGTAAGAAACGCGCTGCAAACGCGAGTTTCCAATACGCTAAGGTGTGAACCCAGCCTAAGTTTAATTTGAATCCGAATCCCGAATCAGATCCGAATACGATTCCCGAAACGAAACACATATAGGACCCGAATTCCAAAAACAAAATAAACGAAATCTGAAACTAAATGAAACGAAAGTAATTTTTAGACGCTGCACATGTCTAGTATTCGGTGAATTCTGAAAAAAAAAATATCGGTACTCGATACCGAAATACCGGTATCGGTGCATCCCTAGTTTTAACCCTTTCCTACTCTAAGAAAAAAAATGTTTTGACTACACAAACACTGCAGGTATCTTGTACCAGAATGAGCAGTGTTTTTACACCGGGCTCTGAAAAGATTTAAAGGAGAACTATGAGGGGGGGGGTGCTTTTCACTCACCTCATAGTTCTAGCCGACTGTGACAATGAGACTGTCACAGGTCGGCTCAGTAGATCGGGAGGTGAGCGAACACATACCGGCATTCGCTCACCTCTCGATCCTGTCACGGCTCTTTGCCGTGACAGGGGCGGGGCTTGATTCCCCCCTCCCCGCTCCGATCCGCCAGCGCTGACTGGCGGAACGGACGGGGGAGGGGGCGGGTACAGCTGGCTCTGCCTCTAGATAGCCACAGCCAGCTGTCACTCACGCAGCTGGGCAGATCTCGACATCGATGTCGCGATCCGCTCCGGCTGCAGCGTCTCAGTATACCGCGAGCTGTAGCTCCCTATATACTGAGCTTAGGGTGACGGGAGGACGCTAGTTTGTGTCCTCCCTAAGGAGAACTATGGGGAAAAGCCTTAACCCCATAGTTCTCCTTTAACACTTTAAAGTCTCTTCTGAATTTATATACACGCTGCCAAACACGACGACCTGTTTGGTTGGATGCCAATGGAATTTGGGTTGTGGTAGGAAGCAGAAGTACCTGGAGGATCCCCATTGAACCTAAGGAGAACATACCAATTAAACAGACATTTGGTGCTAACCACTGAGCCACCACATTTCCTTCTGCAATTGTGAGTTAATCTTGTGTCTTATTTCTCTTTTCCTCCTCAGGCCCCTCGCTGGATATTATGGGTTTTAGTGGAAATCGCCATTATCGGTTCAGACATGCAAGAAGTCATTGGTACCGCCATTGCATTCAGCCTCTTGTCATCCGGGAAGTAAGATATGTTACGTTTTTTTATTTTTTTTGTACAAGGGACTGTGATGCATCATTTGAGAAAAACTCTGCAAATGGCCCGATCATCCTTTCTCAACCCTTTTCCATGAAGGACCCTTTAAAGTAAATAGGTTTACAGGTGGAGTGTTGCTCTAAAATGAAGGATCCAAATGATGAAGTTTGTCATCTGGTCATATTTTTATTGCCATATTATGTGTTTCTATGCAGGATTCCATTATGGGGCGGCGTCCTAATAACCATAGTGGACACGTTATTCTTTCTGTTTCTTGATAAATACGGTAAGTTTTCTCAGACATTCAAACAGACCGATTGGTATCTTTAATGTGACACTAAGTTAAATCTTAAAAATACATTCAAGGACCTGAACTATGAACAACAATGTATCTTATTTGTGTATCACTCGGCTGTAGATCCTCCAATCATCTCTGAATTGGTGCTGACACTGTCCTTCCTTCTGGAGGGGGGCTACTTTTGTTCCCCATGGTCCCCATGTGTGTTGTAAAGTAGTCACCGCTCCAAGCTCGCTCCCGGGATGGACTACAGTCTCAATACAAATTAGTAAACTAAAACATGAGATTGTAGTCCATCACTATATTATAAGGTGTAGTATGGGGTATAGAATGGGGTATAGTATAGGGCAGGACTCAAAATTTCAAGTCCTAAGCTACTAGCCAGACCTTATAAGTTACTCGCCACCACTTGCCCCACCTTACCCCTACCCTGCTCCGGCCTTATCTCCGCCAGGTCAGCGGTGTGACGCAGAGTACAAAGATCAGTAACAACGCACAGCACAGAAGTCAGTGGTGCAATGCAGAATACAGAGGCCAGCTGTGTGACGCACAGTACACCGGTCATCAATGTCACACGCAGTGCAGAGGTCAGCAAAGTGACCCGCAGTGCAGAGGTCAGCAATGTGACCCGCAGTGCAGAGGTCAGCAATGTGACCCGCAGTGAAGGGGTCAGCAATGTAACCCGCAGTGCAGAGGTCAGCAATGTGACCTGCAGTGAAGAGGTCAGCAATGTGACACGCAGTGCAGAGGTCAGCAATGTGACCCGCAGTGCAGAGGTCAGCAATGTGACCCGCAGTGCAGAGGTCAGCAATGTGACCCGCAGTACAGAGGTCAGTACACAGTACAGAGGTCAGTACACAGTACAGAGGTCAGTATGTAACACAGTGCAGAGGTCACAAAGAAAGTACAGGGACTTACAGTTGATTTGACCTCTTCTTCTTCTGGTGATGGTGGGGGGAGCAGCAAGGTTTCCTACACGTCCAGCCGGCTCCAGGTGCTCTCCTGCGCAGCAGAAGCCAGCCAACTGCAGTTCGGTAGTCTTCCTCTCCCACCAATGGCAGCTGAGGTGGGCGGAGGAAACTGCTGTGGCCGCCAAGGAGCCCAATCGAAGCGGGCACAGACAATGGCAGTCCAGCTTCTTGTTCTTTTCTCCTCGCCACCGCAGTCTTAAAGTCAGAGCAGTCTTAAAGAGGCCCCCCTTCCAGTCCACATATTTTGGACGTTATTAACCTGAGTTGCCCCACTCAGTTTGCCCGTCGCTTGCGGTCATATTGAGTGGGGCACTAAGATTAATAACGTGCTGGATTAGTCTGACCCAGGGGCGGACTGGGCCCGGAGGCAGGGTGGCAATTGCCCCACACTGCCGCCATAAGCATTTAATCTCTCCCCTCTTGGTCGCTCTGCTGCTGCAGC